TTTGGGGGGGGGGGGGGGGGGCTTATAAACTTTATAAAACCCAGTGTTTCATTACTAGAGTTTAAGAAATTAAGGAATGCTGTTCTAAACAAACAAGCAAACAGACAAATTATCTTTGGAGAAGCAAGTAGTCTTGTGTCTTAAGAGTCAGTTATTATATTCCCCAAACCCTGTAACCCCAGATGTTCTAAGAAGGTATCCTTTGATATTAAAATCAAGATAGAGCATTACTAAAACTCTAGGATGTTATACCTATAACCTTAGGAAGGTATAAAATCAAGTACAGAGATAATAAGGATTTGAACTAAACCAGCTGTAGTAATATTTGAGAGTAGATTGAAGTGTAAATGTATAAAAGGTTTTGTAATGATGGTTTATATATTGTTTTGGATACTGTATAAGGTGTTCAAAGTGTTCAAAGGAAGAAGTCTTACTAGATTGGAAACCATATTTTCAGTTGGTCAAGAAAATGTAATTTAGTTTTTAATCAATCGTTGAATAAAAATCAGTCTTAAGTTTCATTTGTTGGATATATAGATTTAAAATTTAAACAACAAAAACAAGGGAAAGAAAAAGAAAAAAGAAGTACTGCTCCAGAACAGAACCATATTGATTTTAAATTCATTGTTTTAAGAGCTTTAGGCCCCTCCTTAGAGAGTTTAAAATCCTATTAATATTTGATTCATGAGCTTGTATAAATCGAACTGAGAATTGCCTCCTAATTATACTTATGTGCTAAAGAGAACACTGATTATAATCATTGCTAGGTGTTCAGAGTAGCTTGTGAGTACCTTCCTTGCATTAAATCCCCGAACTTTCTATTTTTTCCCAAGATTTTCTTATGAAATATAAATGGCAACTTATTTTGAATTAAATAGCCATATTTTAACTTTATGCTCTCAAAATCCCAATCTGGTGGTTGGCAGATTGATGCATCTATCCTGCATCTATCTTGCATATTCAAAACATGAAAGAGTTTCATTTCTGGACTCTTGAATCCAGCCATCTGGACCAATGTGACCTGCTCCATCTTAGGAATTGAGTAATGTGACTTGGCCACATTGCTTAGGGTCTCTGTGTATCTGTTGTCCTTCTCCTAAAAATGGACATAGCAGGTCAGAAGGATAAAAAGGAAAAGTGTATGCGAAGGGCTGAAGGCAGTTCTGGGCACATAGTAAGCACTTAATAAATATTGATAGTATTATTATCATCCAAAGGAAAGGAACTCATTTCCCCCTGGTTTACACAACTGAGCATTCAAAAACTCATACTAGACACAGAATTCTAATTAAATGAGTAAGCTTTGATTTCAGGTGAATGTGATATAAACTCTGTTCCATTGGCATGTAACAGCATAGCACTGGGCAGAAACAGAATCCAGTACATTGAAAAAATAAAAAGATAATTTTCTAAATCAGGCTCAAATCACTTGAATTATTTGAAAGAATTCTGCCATTTCTCTTCCTTCTAGACCATGACCCTGTGAAGAACAAAAAGTTCCAACAAATTTGGGGTTTCTGACAACGAATCATTACTCATCATTATTTCTCATTTCTTTGCACACGTATTCATTCTTGCAGCAAACATTTTCAGCACATGCCGTGGGCCTACGATGTGACTACACTGGGGTCGGGGGAGGAAGGAAGGCTGTGAAAGGGATTTATAAAGACATTCAGAGATCTAATGGTGGCTCTGGCAGAGAAACTCCTCCTGAAATCCATGTAAATGTCCCTAGAAATAACCAAAGACTCAGACACTCCCATGGAACTGTGTGATAAGACTATAAAATAAAGCCAATTTCACTAGATCCAGCAAATGTGTGGTTTTCTGCTAGCTCATCAATGTACAGGCAGCCCATGGAACAGGGACTTGGCAGATGCAAACCTAGAGTTCTGAGTCATAGTTTCCCTGTTATCTTTCTTTGCAGGCATATGATGGCTTAACCTCTGCAACTAGTCTCCTTGCCAGTATGTGTGGAAGACAGCAGCTGACTAACCCCATCACCTCTTCAGGAAACAGCCTCTTTGTGAGGTTTCAGTCTGGCCCTTCCAGACAGAGCAGGGGCTTTCGAGCTCAGTTCAGGCAAGGCAAGTATCCAGTGGGTCTCCCTGAGCACAGGAGATATATTCTTCAGTGCCCTTTGGTGCTATAATAAAATGACACCGGCATTCAGAAATTGATCACAGCTTTCCACTTACTGTGAAAAATTTAAATAGAATGAGGGAATGATGACTTACGATTATTCCAACTGTTGATACTTTTAACCTTATTTTTGTCTAACTTAGATGATGATACTGACTTCCTTTGGATCTGAGTACTTCTTGAATACACTGTTTATTCTCAAAGTTTTCAGAGTAATACTTAAAAGTGCATTTAATACTAAAGATAATATAAATAGTTTTTATCCAAATTCATTTATCTAGCATTTATCCAAGGTTTCACACTAGAAGGAGATACACCACTATAAACTACAAGACTTTCTAGTAGTGTAGAGTCAGATTCCAACCCCCAGAAGCAGTGGTTTTCCTCATTTCTGACTCCTGCATTGTCCAATGATCAGTTACAGTTGTTTTCTGTTGTTTTTGTT